TCTTAGATTTCAGTCTAAATATAATTTCCTCAGAAGTTTTTATTAATTTTTAAATTTATTTTTTTATTTTAATTTGTTACATATGACAGCAGAATGCATTACAATTCATATTACACATGTAGAGCACAATTTTTCATATCTCTGGTTGCACACAAAGTAGTCACACCATTCTCGTCTTCATACATGTACTTAGGGTTAAGATTTTTGAGTTCTTTATATACCCTAGGATTAGTGCTCTCTCTGATGGTAAAAATTTGCTCCCAAGCTGTAGGCTCTCTGTTCACCTCACTGATTGTTTCTTTTGATGAGAAGAAACTTTTTAGTTTGAATCCATCCCATTTATTGATTCTTGACTTTAGGGTAATGATGTCCATCTGATTCCACCGTCTTTCCTACCCTTCCCTTCTCCTCCCTCCCCTTTGCCTGATCTAGAGTTCATCAAATCCTCCAATGCCCCCCCAACCCCATTATGAATCAGCATCCTTAAATCAGAGAAAACATTTGGCAATGGGTTTTTTGGGATTACATAACTTCACTTAGCATTATATTCTCCAACTCCATCCATTTACCTGCAAATGTCATGATTTTATTCTCTTTTAATGCTGAATAATATTCCATCATATATATATATATATATATATATATATATATATATATATATATATACACACACACACACACACCACATTTTCTTTATCCATGCATCTACTGAAGGGCATCGAGATTGGTTCCACAGTTTAGCTATTTGTGAATTGTGCTGCTATAAACATTGATATGGCTGTGTCCCTATAGTGTCCTTTGGGTATAGACCGAGGAGTGGGATAGCTGAGTCAAATGGTGGTTCCATTCCAAGTTTTCCAAGGATTCTCCATACTGCTTTCCATATTGGCTGCACCAATTTGCAGTCCCACCAGCAATGTATGAAAGTGACTTTCCTCCCACATCCTTGCCAACTATTATTGATGTTTCTATTCTTAATAGCTGCCATACTGACTGGAGTGCGATGGAGTCTTGGAGTAGTTTTGATTTGCATTTCTCTAATTGCTAGAGATGTTGAACATTTTTTCATACATTTGTTGATTGACTGTATATCATCTTCTGAGAAGTGTCTATTCAGTTCCTTGACCCATTTATTGATTGGGTTTTTTTTTGGTATTAAGATTTTTGAGTTCTTCATATATCCTAGAGATTAGAGCTCTATCTTATGTGTTTGTGGTAAAAATTTGCTCCCAAAATATAGGCTCTCTGTTCACCTCACTGCTTGTTTCTTTTGATGAGAAGAAGCTTTTTAGTTTGAATCCATCCCATTTATTGATTCTTTTTATTTTATTTTTTTTTAGTTGTTGATAGACCTTTATTTATTTATATGTGATGCTGAGAATCGAACCCAGTGCTTCATACACACCAGGCAAGTGCTCTATTGCTGAGCCATAGCCCCAGCCTCCCCCCCCATTTATTGATTCTTGATTTTAATTCTTTCGCTATAGGAGTCTTATTAAGAAAGTTAGAGGRGGGCTGGGGATGTGGCTCAAGTGGTAGCACATTCGCCTGGCATGCGTGCGGCCCAGGTTCGATCCTCAGCACCACATACAAACAAAAGATGTTGTGTCCGCCGAGAACTAAAAAAATAAATATTAAAAATAAATTCCCTCTCTCTCTCTCTCTCTCTCTCTCTCTCTCCTCTCTTTTTTTTTTTTTTTAAAAAAAGATTACTATTAAAAAAAAAGAAAGTTAGGGGACCGGGGTTGTGGCTCAGTGGTACAGCACTTGCCTAGCTTCATTTCTCCTTTTTGACAAATGGAAAATCTAAATTTTTATGTGTGTGTCCTTAGCACCACATAAAAAAAATGAATAAAATATAGGTATTGTCTGACTAAAAAATAAATATTAAAAGAAAAAAAAGAATGTTGGGTCCTAATTTGATATGATGGAGATTTGGGCCTACTTTTTCTTCTAGTAGGTGCAGGGTCTCTGGTTTAATTTCTAGGTCCTTGATCCACTTTGAGTTGAGTTTTGTGCATGGTGAGAGATAGGGGTTTAATTTCATTTTGTTKCSTATGGGTTTTCCCAGCACCATTGGTTGAAGAGGCTACCTTTTCTCCAGTACATGTTTTTGGCACCTTTGTCTAATATAAGATAATTGTAGTTTTGTGGGTTAGTCTCTGTATCCTCAATTCTGTACCATTGGTCTATCAGTCTGTTTTGGTGCCAATACCATGCTGTTTTTGTTACTGTTGCTCTGTAGTATAGATTTTGCACATCTCATACCAACTCCAAGTTGAAACTGGCTGTGGTTTACATTACTGAGATTAATTAAGATTACAATCACAGAACTTTTCTTCAGCAGCTGGTTGTCCAGCCAGGTGCAAAGGCGCATGCCTGTAATGATCCCAGTGGCTTGGGAGGCTGAGGCAGGAAGATCGTGAGTTCAAAGCCAGTCTTAGGAACCTAGGGAGGCACTTAGCGATTTAGTGAGACCCTATCTCTAATAAAATATAAAAAAGGGCCTGTATGTGGCTTAGTGGTTAAGCATCCTTGGGTTCAATCACCAGTACCAAAACAAAACAAAACAAAAAAATTCACATGCCTTGCCTTTCCTTTGGAATTAACCAGGCCTCCAGGTGCCATTTGGGTTATTTTTATTCCTCCTTTATTTTTATTTATTTATATGAGTGCATTTGTGAGTGTGTGTGTGTGTGTGTGTGTGTGTATATATATTTTGTGTGTGTGTGTGTGTGTGTGTGTGTGTGTGTGTGTGTGGTACTGGGGATTAAACCCAGGGATACTTAACCACTGAGCCACATCCCAGGCTCCTTTTTATATTTTATGTAGAGACTGGGTCTCACTAAATTGCTTAGAGTATCAGTGAGAACTTGATGGGGTTCTTTTTTTTTGTCTTTTTTGGAACTGGGGATCGAACCCAGGGCTTTGCGAATGCAAGGCAGACGCTTTGCCACTGAGCTACATCCCAGCCCTCAGTGAGAACTTGGGATCCTCTTGCCTCAGCCTACCAAGCTGCTGGGATTATAGACATGCATCACCTCACCCAGCTCCTCCTTTATTTTTAATTTTACTTTTATTTTTTTCTGTGTATGTGGTACTGGGGATTGAACTCAGGGAGTGCTCCTCCACTGAGCTAAATCCCAAGCCTTTTTTTATTTTGAAATAGGATTATTATTATTATTTTTGTGTGTGTGTGTCTGTGTGGTGCTGGGGATGGAACCCAGGGCCTTATGCATGCAAGGCAAACACTCTACCAACTGAGCTATATTCCCTGCCCCTGAAACAGGATTTTGCTAAATTACTGAAATTAGCCTTGAATCTGTGTCCTCCTGCCTCAGGCTCCGAAATCACTGGGATTATAGGTGTGTGCCACCACACCAGGCTTCATTTCTCCTTTTTGACAAATGGAGAATCTAAAGCTTTCCGTCATTATAGTAGAGCATGATGCTTTGATCTTCGTCTTTCCTTTCTTCTCATTCTCTGGCAAAGGTGTCAATACTGCATGATTAGAAATCATGTGGAGACAGTGCTGGTTAAAATAGGGGGAAAGGGATGTGGTTGCATAAGACGAAAGGATATTTTGGAAGACAGTTTAGTAGTCTTCAGTGTACATAGCACTGATCCAACAGTTTGATTTTTAAGGATTTTCCTACAAATACAGTCTCACAGGCACAGAAGAATGTATTTATACCTATGACTATCTTCACAAATTTATATGTAATGTGTGGAAAAAATATATATACGTATATATGTGTATGTCTGTATTAATTTATTTATACAGGTTGAGCTTTCTAATTTGAAAACATGAAAGCTAAAATGTTCCAAATTCTAAAACTTTTGAAGTGTTGACATGATACACCACTGAAAAATTCCACACCTTTTCTCACCTGATAGGTCACAGTCAAACCACAGGTGCACTAAATGAACTGGGAACAGTGATGCACACCTGTAAATCCCAGTGACTTGGGAAGCTCAGGCAAGAGGATTTGAGATCATCCTGGGTAATTTAAGGAGACCCCTGCGGGGCGGGGAAGGGCTGGAGATTTAGCTCAGTGGTAAAGCACCTCTGGATTCAATCCCTAATATACTAAAAAAAAAAAAAAAAAAAAAAAAAAAAGTTTTGTATAAGTGTTTTCTTTTTTGGTGAGGGAGGTAGGGAGTACCAGGGATTGAACTCAGGGGAACTCGATCACCAAGCTACATCCCCAGTCCTATTTTGTATTTTATTTAGAGACAGGGTCTCACTGAGTTGCTTAGCACCTTGCTTTTTTTGAGGCTGGCTTTGAATTCACTATCCTCCTGCCTCAATCCTCCAGAGATACTGGGATCTCAGGCATGCACCACCATGCCCGGTTTATTTTCTTATTTTTTAGAGGGATTTGAAAAAGAAAAAGTGAACTTTAACAATGGAGGCTGAGGGGCTGGAGCGCTTGGGTTCCATACCCAACATCGCAAAAATACTAGATAAATATATAAATTATATAAATCGACCCCCACCCCAACAACAACAACAAAAACCCCACACAATGGTAAACCCTAGGGTTGGTTGGGGGGGATATATGAGGAGGGCTGTCTGTTTTGCATATATTTACATCCAGAATCGTTAAATATGGATAAATTAAGTTAACTGAAATGGTACAGAGAATACCAATAATTGAAAAATAAATAAACCCCAGATAAAGCTCGATATGGTTCGGTATTACTGAGGTTTTTCCGCAGCGATTCCTACTTATAAAGTTCCAGCTGTCAAAGTGCACCAGTAAATTTTTAAATGTTCCTTTATTCCTTGACAGTGACTAAACGCTGAATTCAAAATAGCTCTCTCAACATGGTGACACATTCCTGACAAGACGATCACTTAAAAGACCTTCTCAAAATGGCTGTTCCATTCTTGCTCCACTGAAGACCAACCTAGAGCAGGACCTTCCCAACATGGCGACACAAGACTCCAGCGTCACTTCCTGCAGGATGCCGGATATAAGGAGCAGGATTTCCGCTTTCGCTCCTTTCCGGCGGTGACGACCTCCCCACGAGAACATGCCTGTGAGTTCCTTGGTCCAGGTTTCAGCGGAGATCTCGCTCTTCTGTCCGCACGCTCCCCTCACGCTGATTTCGCCTCGTAGAGGGTCCTCAGTAACCCTCTGCACTTCTTAGGACCTTAACTCCAGGGACCGCAGCGGCCCACGGGCCACCCGCATAGACGGGAGCGGAGAGGAGATAAGATGGCGGCCCAGCTACGCAGACACCAGGGGCGGCGAGGGGCGAGTTCTCCCCGGTGTGTGACAGTGGGGGCTGTTTTCCATCGTCCCCTTTTCGCCGTTGGTTTCTAAACCTCTGCGTTTCTTCCCCTCTTAGCTCGCAAAGGATCTCCTTCATCCCTCTCCGGAAGAGGAGAAGCGGAAACACAAGAAGAAGCGCCTGGTGCAGAGCCCCAACTCCTATTTCATGGACGTGAAATGCCCAGGTGAGAGGTGGCCTGCTGCAGCAGGAGAAGCAAGGAACACCCCCCCCACCCCCCGCCGGGAGGGCCGTGCTAGTTGTGGCACATCCTTGAAGCAACTCAGCAGCCTGGGTTTCTAAAACTGTTAGAAGGATATAATGCTACTCCAGATTTTCTAAAATTCAAATACATGAAACTGGCAATACAGTTTTGTTTTTTAGGAGTAATTGAATTCCGTGCTCTCCGGTCAAAAGTGCATATAAAGATTGTACTTATTTTTTTGTCTTAGGAAACACTAATGGGATGTTAAGTTGGTGTTAAGTGAGAGAAAAATATGGTAGTAATATTGGCGAAAAATGTTAACTCTTTGCCTGATTTCCATCTCCCCAGGATGCTACAAAATCACCACAGTTTTTAGCCATGCACAAACAGTAGTTTTGTGTGTTGGCTGCTCCACTGTCCTCTGCCAGCCTACGGGAGGAAAAGCAAGGCTTACAGAAGGTAAATGGCTCAATGTTGTGGTTTTTGGCTTTGAATTTTAAAGGGAAAGGAATCCGTATACATGAGTTAAGTAGCTAATGGAGTGAGGGGGACATGTAGCATTCTGAGATGGATCACCAGGCTTCTGCAAGTTTTATGAGGGTGGGGCACTGGACAGGGTAGGTAGCCTGTCAGGTAATCTTCAAATCATTTTCTTCCAGGATGTTCCTTCAGGAGGAAGCAGCACTAAAAGCAGCCTAAATCAAGAAGAGTGGGAAAACATCCCAATAAACACATTTTGGATATATCCTGTTTATTGTCTTGTTTAACTGCTAGGAAGTTCCTGCCTCAAGTATTCAGAGGCATCCAGAAGAGTGGAATGCTAGAGTCATTTGGGGCAAGTAAGTGGTCAAATACTTTAAAAAAAAAAAGTCCCTTTGGTACATTTTATCCACCTAGGCTCATTGGGTGGATCTTCAGGGATTGATTTAAGAATGGGAATACTAGATAAACATGAGTGACTTTTATGTTTTCTTAGTATTAGTAAGTGTTAATCTGTAGAACACAACAAACAACTTTAATAAAAATACAGCTTAACATTTTTTATTGATGATTGTCAGAACCCTTGTATTGGAGGCTTAGTGTAGAGATTGCTGGTAGGCTCCTTGTCTAGGGCTAAAAATATTCCCTCAGTTAAAGGGGACTTGCCCAAGCACAGGTTAGTGCCTTATGCTCCATAACCAATGCTGTAGTCGACTCTGGGTCAATGGGGGTTGTGGGCTCAAGAAAGGAGGAGAACTTGCGGAGGTATAAGAACCTGAAAGTAAAGGGGGAAGGAAGATGATGAAGTTCTGAGTCAATCAAGCATGTATACTTGTGCTTCTCAAAGAGAGGTCTTTACCTGGCTGTGGTGTTCCTATAGTTGGTACATAAACCACAGGAACGGTCTGAATCTTGTTTAGGAAGGCACTGTATGCTAGAAAAAGGAAAAGGGAGATGTCACAAAAAGCTTACTTTTTTTATCAAAAAATATTGTAACTGGAAGAAGGCCTTAAAGAGTAAAAGTCCACTCTTACCATGAGAATAAGTATTGATATAGAAAGAAATCCTTAAATCTGCCCTCTGTCCATGGATTCAACCAACTGAGAATCAGAAATAATTTGGAAAAATGTGTATAGTGAACATGAAGACTATTTTCCTTGTTATAACCTGAACGGCATAGTATAATGACCATTTATAGGATTTGCATTGTATTAGTATAAGTAACTAGAAATGACTTAAAATATGTGTAAATTATGTCATTTGTACCAGCAAGGCACAGGAATATCTGGATTTGGGATGTTATTTTTTATTTTTAGTTTTAGACGGACACAATACCTTTATTATTTGTTTACGTGGTGCCGAGGATGGAAACCAGTGCCCCACACACACTAGGCAAGTGCTGAACCAGTGAGCTACAACCTTAGTCCTGAATTTGGGATGTCTGGGCTTCTGGAAGTAATATCCCCCCAAAATACTTGGACACTGTAACTTCAGTAATACACTTACTGGAAATTTTATTTATCCCAATTTAAACCATCTTAAGGTATTTTTTTAAGATGGTTTARATTGGCAACCAGGTATGAAAACCTAGTAGCCAGTGGTGATGGTATATTGAATCCTCCCTAGCCACTGGTTGGAGTAACAGTAGCAGTTGTCTGAAGGCTAAGCAACAGTGGTATTTCACTTTAGTGGTTTCCACTTTAGTGATATATCATAGTTTGCCACATCCAGTATACCATTTTGTAGTAGAAAGCTGAAGATGGCATTAAGTGATTGGGCTAGGGAGGCTAACTCATGTCAACTACTTGTCACAAATTAGATGTGATAAACAGCTAATTTTCATCCTCATTTAGTTTGTGAAATAAAATGAAGGCAGTTTCCAAGTCAAAGTCCACGGTGCTGAATATAAGGACTCCTTACCTAGAAAGATGAAAGCTGTTGATGCCAACACCGCAAAGAGGGTAAAGAGGAGGATCTGGTAAGAACCAATGAACCGCTTGAWGACTCCTGAACTTTCACACTGATCTGTGCATTGGCCATAACAAGATAATAGTTAGACACATCCAGGGCAGATGCTGCATTGGAGACAGGGTCTTAAAGAGTATCCAGCAGAAGCACTCAAAACCCAGCCCTTTTATGAAACTTGAGGTGTGAACTCCTTCCTTCACCTCTTTTTAGCTTCTCATATCTCCAAATAATAAAATCTTCAAATTTAAATGTTAGTCTTCTCAGGTTTCAAGGGGTGCTTTAAATCCCTTTGCCACCTTAAAATGCCTGTAAAACCCATTCTGTGTATTTTAACCCCAGGTGCCATGTTTTCTTTCACTAAACTTGTTATAGTCTCTGCTAACCAAAATATTTCTTCAGATCACCAGTTACCTCCTAAATTCATTGGTCCCTTGTCTTCAGGATGTCATTTCTAGGGAATTCTTCAATTTGTATCAATAAAACTCCAGACATGTGTTTGAAGCCAACTTGGCATCTGTTTGTTTTTTTCAAATTCTTCAGTGCTTATAAATGAACTCCACTCTTGCCAAACTGCCTGAATTCCAGGACTTATCATGGATTACTAGATCTTCATACCTGGTTGCTATTCTGCACTCCTAGTAGAGCCCTGCTTCTGAACTCACAAAACATAACCCAAAACTGTCCTTGACCAAATGAGCCACATCCCTAGTCCTTGTAATTTTTTCAGACACCTGCTTAAGGCCTCACTTAGTTGCTGAAGCTGACTTTGAATTTGGGATCCTCCTGCCTTAGCCTCCTGAAGTGCTGGGATTACAGGCATGTGCCACCACGCCCAGCTTATTCACACTATTTGCAAACTGCTTCCCTCTGAAGAATTTGAGATTTAAGGTGTGCACAGGGATTGTACACTAATCTCTGATCAGATCCCACTGTTCAAATCTGGCTTTCCAGAGCCCATAGGATCAGAATCCAAATAAAATGTGGACAGCATCATCTGTACCTGTCCATTCTGATTATAATCTAATGTCTGTCTCCCCAAACCTGGCTCTTCACCCAACCCCACTACTGTGGATTGAACCCAAGAGTCATGTAATAGGCAAGTGTTCTACCACCATCCCTAGTCCCTCCTCCCCTTTTAAATTTTCAACAAACATTTTCAATAAATTGCCAAAGCTGGCCTTGAATTTGGCAATCCTGCCTCAGCTCTGGAGTTGCTGGAATTATAGGAGTGCACCATCATACCCTGCTTCTATCACTAAGCAATACTCCCAGCCTTATTTTTTGTTTTGAAATGGGATCTCACTAAATTGCTGAGGCTACACTCAAAACTGTCATCCAAGCTGAGCCTCCCAAATTGCTGGGATAATAGGTATGAGCCTCCATGCCCAACACCCCTTGCTTTTTTTTTTTTTTTTTTTTAAATATCAGGGATTGAACCCAGAGGTGCCGAACTACTGAGCCACAATCTCATCCTTTGTTGAGACAGGGCTTTGCTAAATTGCTTTTTGAACTTGGGATCCTTCTGTCAGCCTCCCAAGTCACTGGAATTACAGGTGTACACCACCACACCCAGCTCCTTTGCAGTTCTTATGCAATTTTTTATACTTGGGCAGTTTTGGCAGTCTGGCGAAGCCTATGAATACCATCTGAGAGTCCATAAAATAAATAGGAAGGATACTTATCAAAGTAAAGTCAGTTAAAGTAGAAAAAAAATTGGTGACGTGGTTACGTTGTACAATTGTCAAAATGTTAAAAAGCCTAGTTGTGCTACAGTAGCCTTATTAGCAGCAGCAACAAAAATGTAGGTGTAGATACGATTGTAATGTAATTTGGAGGTTAAGAAATGTGAGATCTGAAAATAAATACATCTCTGGATGATTTTTTTKTTTGTTTGTTTGTTTGTTTTTGGTGGGGCATGGTCCTGACTATTGAATCCAGGGGTGCTTTGCCATTGAGCTAAATCCCTAGAACTTTTGTTTTTTATTTTGAAATAGGGTCTTGCTAAATTGACTACGCTGACCTCAGCCTCCTGAGTTGCTGGGATTACAGCAGGAGGCAGGAGAGAGGGCGTCTGTTTTAGCAGGATGGATGGCAAGACTGTACCTGGCTGTGGATAAGAATTAAAACAATAGTGAAGATATGCTTAGTATACTGATCATGAGAAAAGTCAACAAAAACTCCCATTAGAGTATGCACTAGAGTTAGGCCAGTTCACTCCCAATAATTATGTTGTCACATGTAGTGGCATATGTCTAATCCTAGCCTCTCAGGAGTCTGAGGCCACCCTGGGCCACTCAACAAGATCCTGCTTTAAAAAAATAAAAAGCCTGGGGGTATTTATTAGTGGTAGAGCACCCTGTTTGATCCCTAGACCACAAAAAATCCAAAAACAATACTTGTTTTTTTTTTTTTTTTTTTTTGTAAAGAGAGAGTGAGAGAGGAGAGAGAGAACTTTTTATTTATTTATTTTAGTTTTCGGCAGACACAACATATTTGTGGTGCTGAGGATCGAACCCGGGCTGCACGCATGCCAGGCGAGCACGCTACCGCTTGAGCCACAATCCCCAGCCCAATACTTGTTTTCCTTGAGGGGTGAAAAGTTTAAGGAGGATGTTCTCTGGTTTTCCTAACATCTGTTTTCATAACTTGTTCCCCTCCCATCCTAATTTAGCATAATTTCTCAACTGGGTAATATCTGAAATCAGGATTTGGGGAATCTTAAATTTACATCTTAAATCTTTAAATTTGTCAATCTAGGGTTGACATTTGTTCATTGTCTGATGTAGAAAGATCTCTTAATACTTCTGAAGAAGACAAAACATTTATCCAGAAGTTTAAAGCAGGATAAATGGTATACTTACAAAACTGAGACACTAATGGGAAACTGACATAACTTATTTTTTTCTTTATATACAGTAACTGGGGATTGATCCCAGGCCTTGCACACACTAGGCAAGTGCTCTACTACTGAAGTACACCCTTAGCCCTCTTTTTTTTTATAATTATTATTTTATTTTGAGATAGGGTCTCACTTAGATTTGCTTTATACTTGGAATCCTTCCAACTCAGCCTCCCAAATAGGGAATTAGAGGTATGTGTCACCACACCCATCTTATAACTATTCTTTTTTTTTTTTTTTTTAAAGAGAGAATGAGAGAGGAGAGAGAGAGAGAGAATTTTAATATTTATTTTTTAGTTCTCGGCGGACACAACATCTTTGTATGTGGTGCTGAGGATCGAACCCGGGCCGCACGCATGCCAGGCGAGCACGCTACCGCTTGAGCCACATCCCCAGCCCATAACTATTCTTATTTAACCAATTTTGTCCCAGGTCCCAGTTACATTTGCCCAATGTCATTTACAGGATAACATATATGTAAAAGATACTATATTGTCCTCGTGTCATATTTATAAGACAATGTATTTTATTTTTTTGTACCAATGATTGAACTCAAAAGTGCTTAACCACTTAGTCACATCCCCAGCCTTTTTTTTTTTTAAATTTTTTATTTTTTATTTTGAGACAGGGTCTTGCCAAGTTGCTTAGGGCCTTACTATATTGCTGAGACTGGCATCGAATCTGTGATTCTCTTGCCTTAGCCTCCTGAGCTGCTGGGATTATAGGCATGTGCCACTGCACCCAGCTGTATTTTCATTCTTAATGAAAACAAAGGATATACGAGCTTTAGGTTATGAGTTCCTACATATTTTAATGCAGTTGTGTCAATTTTATTGAAATATTTGCAGAATTGTAAATTTGGGACTTAATGACTTAAATATAAAATTYAGATAGTGTAAAGCTACCTAGTGTTAAGCTACCTAAGCATATTATTTTGGATTGGTTGGAAGAGATCCAAGCCTCAATAGTTTATCTTGGTGAAGAGGCTGAATATTTCCCGCTGATGAAATGGTGAATGCATTCTGTTTTCTCCTCCTAGATTAAAAATAGTCCCAAGTGCTCACCTGCACCAAACTTCTCCTTCATAGCTCTCACTACCACGGCCTCACTTTGACTGGTGAGCACACAGGAAATATTAATGAAAACAGGTGATGCCATCTGCTGGAAGGCAGTAAAGTTGACAATTCTTACAGGATAGACGGCCAGGCCAGGGGTGAGCAGAGACTGCCTATGATCAGAGATCACTAGAACTGGGGAGCTGGGGAAGACCTTGAATAAAAGATAAAACAGCATTTTTTTGAAAGAATAAAAATATATGTTGTAGCAATATGTTCCAATTGCAAACACATACAGTATAAGAATTGTCAAGATATGGACTTTAAACCTACCAGCTAGTGATAACAAGTCTTTTACTTTCTCCCGTTAGAAGTATTGAAGAATAAGGAATAAAATGAACTCTGAGATGAAAATAAATTTAAGGAAAAATTTAAAGATTAAAAGATTATTTTAAAGGAATTAACAAATTTATGACCTAGATTTTGTGAAGAAGACAAGTTTTCATCATTCAATTTAAGAATTACCTATGGTGATTTTTATCAGGTCACTCAGTAACTTCCTTTATTGTTGGAATGAGAATAAAAAGTCGTTCAAATCCCTAATCTCCCTTAAAGTTTTGGTTCAGACTTCAACATACCTCTAGGTTCTCAAGAACTCTGTCAACTCCCAGCACTTTAATCTCCCCAACGTCTCCTTTGTGTCTGAGAACCAATTCTGACTGGTTGATGTAAAAGGCTGGAAGGAAAGGAATGAGGATTCTTTGCATTCCATTCTTGCTACGTTCACTGACCAGTGTGGCCCACCCGTAGACTGAGGTGTCAGCCGTGCTGAGGGCCTGAAGCAACTCTTCTGACTGTGGTCTAACCTGGATTAGGCAGACATAAACCCCTGGGGGGGAAAAAAGGAGACACTGAACAGGAAGATCCAGAGGCTCTATTGAGCCAAGAATTAAGACAGGGAAAGTTGGTGACATGTAAATTCAGCAAAAGAGAAAATGTGAACTCTTGAGTATTCAATGTCAGCACACTATTGGCCACAATCAGAGGATACTGAAGAAAAACAGTCCCAGGGATCCCACAACTGAACTTATTGCCTAAGTAGCTTTACTGGTAAGTCAACTTGTCAGAAAGTATTGAATAACATGGCACAAGCAGGGCAATGAAGGATCAAGGACAGAGAACAAAGATGATCTCTGAGCATGGTTTAGTCACTTTTCTTCAAGTCACTCTTCTTTTGTTGTTGTTACTGGGGATTGAACCCAGGGGCACTTAACCACTGAGCCACATCCCTAGCCGTTTTTTATTTTTTATTGAGACAGTCTTGCTAAGGCTGACTTTGAACTTGTGATCTTTCTGCTTCAACCTCCTGAGCCACTGGGATTACAGGTGTGCATCGTAACACCCAGCCCAAACCACATTTTTTTTTTAACCAGTGCTGAGGATTGAACTGAGAGTCTCACATGGCTAGGCAAGTGCTTTACCATCTTCTCCAGGGCTATATATTGCTTGGAATATACCATTCTCTTTACATCTAGCACATTCCCAGTTAGTT